TATATTTCCAACTATTCCCAACATTCTTCTAGGATTATTGCTATTTTTTTGATCTTTTATAGCCATACTGTTCTTCTATGCAAACATTGTTTCTCTTTAATCCTCTATCTAATCATCTAATTTTTAATCCTCTATTTAATCATCTTCTTTGCTCTATCTAATTATAGTGTGCTAGCTGAACATCCTCAAATTTTATTCCCCATAAATTACTGTTACGCATCTTTTCATATGCTGTATATTTTATTTTTATTTTTAATGCACCTTTAGTTAAGACTGGATGAAAATCTCTGAATATTACTCAAGTAAATTAATCTTTTACACTTGAACACTCTTTCTCTAAATAAACACTCTTAGCTGATCTAGTTGTATCTACAACATAAAAAATCTTACAAACACACTTTATCTTTGTATTGCTATTTATTTCAATATCTTTTTTTTACTTCTCTGTATTCATTAAACGAAAAATTTCTAAACTAGAAAAACCCCAAGTTAAGACCATTTTGTATTCCACTACAACTGTTGTGAACCTGCTGCTAAAAAAAAGTACAATTGATAGATTTCTCTCTAACTTCTTTTTTACACACTTTTAAGTTGTTGTTGTTGTTTTTTTATAATTTTTAATTTTACACTATATAACATTTTCCTAAGCTTCTATTAATCTTTTACACTCTGAAGTCTTAGTATTCATTCTTCTTCTGTCTCTGTAATGGATAAATCTGCATCAGTATCTGAAATCAAATATTAACTATCTGTGACAAAAATTTTTATAGTAATCTAACAACTCAGTAGAGTGAGCTTTAAATAAAATAATAAATAGAATACTTAATAAATTTTTTATTTATAATTATATTATTATTTTTTTTATATTTATAAATAAACAGGGACTGAGCAGGCTGATATTTATTTGATTTAAATTGTTTATTTAATTTAAATAAATTTTGATGATAAATATAAGAGCTCAAAGTAATCAAAGCTTTAACCTTTAATTTATTTTAAATAAAATTTAAAAGTCTTCATATCATAAGAAGAAACCAGAATATAAGTTTTTATGTTTAATATATAAATTCAATTTAGAAGTATTCATAATATTAATAAAAGAGCAAGGATAATTATTATCATTGTTTTTCTTTTTCTTTTAATTTATATAGTTTTGGTTGACTTTTTTTTTCTTTTTTTATTCTCCTCATTTATGTTTCGTTTGCTTTTCTTTCTTTTTTGTTCTTGAGAACTTTATATTTTTTATGTGTCACTCCATTGACTAGTTTGTAACTATATAAGTGACACCTAACCAATTTCTGTAATCTTACAATGAAAATTTGTAAATTTTTATTATTATGGTTAAATAAAATTTAAAAAAATTAAACATACACAGAATTTAAAATAGTAGCAACGTATCTTTAATTTTCTTTAAAGTGAGATTACTAAGGTTTATAGGTCAAATGTTGAAACCAATTTTAGTTCGATTTGCGGTAATCCCACACAAAAAACTAATATAAATTCATTTTTTCCTGGGTAATTCTTTCCTGGGTATCCTGGGTATCCTGTATACGATTAAGAAGTTTTACAAAAAGCTTTACAAATGAAAAGAGTACTTGAAGAAAAAGCCACGACCAATATTGTTTGTTCACAAAAGAAACAAAAAATTGACTATGATAGAAAGTATGCAACACCATAAAATTGTTTTGTGGGTCAAAAAGTTATATTAAGAAATCTAAAAGGAAAAATGACTTTCTCGTGGCTTGGTCCATATGAGATACTTGATATTTTGTCAAACTTGACATGTTTTTTAAGAAACGTTAAAGGGAACAACACTATAAAGAAGAAGTACTCTCTACATCATATTAAACCATTTGTTGAAGAGAAAAGTAATTCAAAATTGCATAGTTTAACTTCTGAGTGCAATGATCAGTATAAAAGTCAACGTAATTCCAAAATAATGAAACATCCCACCAAAGAAATTCTCCAAAAAATAGCTGAAGAATTAGAACTTTAAATATTTATAATGCCAGATCATTTTAATGGAGAAGAAAATAATGTACCTTCAAAAATACATGTTTGCAAAGGTGATGGCAATTTTTTTTGAGCAATTTCGTTTTTGCTGACAGGTTCTACATGTTCGCGATGTTGTTGTTAAACATATGGTATCAAAGCCTTGTTCCAGTCTTTTGTCCGGATATTTAGGCAATGATGTGGAAAACTACATTACCAAAAGTGGTTTGGCCATAGTATATGGGCTACAGATGTTGAGATCCTTGGTACTTCTTATTGGAATCTTATTCCAATAAGAAGTACCAAGGATCTCAACATCTTATTGGAATTGAATTGAATTTCTGTATGGTTCTTCACTGGACAAAAACTAGCATGGCTTAAATATCCAGCATCCATTAAACTCGACCAACTAACAGCTCATAGTATTCTTTTAGAAAATAAAAACAATCATTATTATGTTGGTTTGTCACTAAAAGCTTTGTAAATGAAATGATGTTTATACTGAACTAAACTGATGTTCGTATATCAGTTGTTTTACATGTTGTTTGTTATAAAAAAATAAATAATTTGCTCAAGGTTGCGTATTCTTTACAACTTAAAATAACGTAAATAAACTTGTTTGTAATAAAACTCTACAGAAGTGATTTTATGGATCGCTAGGCTATTTAATTTATTCTAAGATTAGATTTTGTCGCACAATAAAGGAAAATCACTTTACTTGACAGTAAAATTATAACGAACGCAGTAAAATTATAACGTTAAAATATTACTCTCTCAGTAATATTTTAACGTTATTATTTTACCGCAAAGGAAGTTAGACTTTCGCGCTGTAAAATTTAAACCTAATTCATTAGACATTATTGCAATAAAAATATACATTTATATTTTGCCTTGGACCATTGGTGCCATTTTTATTTATAAAATTATAAATAGTATAAAATTTATCGTATTATAAATTATTAATGATTTTCTATACAAAATCATAAAAACTATAACTATTATTTATGACTATATAAAAAAAAAATTAAGTCATAAATAGTAAAGTTCAATTAACAAGTTGTTTTTGTTTGCTTATAAACTTAAGTATACCATTTTATAAAGTTTTATTTAAGCACTGAATCAAATCTCTCTATTATGGAGTTAGGTAAGGTCCAGGGACAACGACACCGGAGAGGGGGGGGGCTAAGGCTCTGGAGCTAATTAAAAAAATTTTTTTTTACAAAGAAAATTCTAGATATAGAGGACTTTTTCTAAAAATTGACGATTGTGAAACCCGTGTCGTCGGCCCTGAGGTCTAGATAAATATCTTTAAAAAAAATTTTATTTTAAGAAAAAGAACGACATGTATAAAATTTCGAATCATTTTAATTTGAAATTTACATTAAACTTTGGTTAATAAATAAACATAAATTTTATTTCATTTTTTATAGTTTTATAATTTTGTATAAATCTTATACAAATTTCTATATATTTATAACACAACAACAACAACAACAACAAAAAAGATTTTTTTTGCATTGCTAACATTTATTTTGCTCTTTTATCAATATTCTAAAATAATTGAATAAAGTATTTCTAAATTCATCATTTCAATTAAAAAATAAATGTAAGGTTTTTGAAATGATAAATACTTTGTTACTTTTAAATTTTATAATTTTAGATAAATAAAAACGCATTTTCGTTTAAACTTTATCAGTTGTTAAAATCAAGTTAAAATTAAAAAATAAAGATGAAAAACCTAAGCATAAATTAAAGTTTAGTTTGTTCTTAACGCGCTTACGCAAATGCTGTTGCTGCGTTTGCGCATCTCCGCAACATAAGCGTTTTATTTACATTTTAAATGTAAATAAAAAAAATGTAATTTAAATGCGTTCAAAGAAAACATTTTCATCTGATATACTTTTTATTTTTTCTATCGATTCGTTTTGTTCACTATAAATTTATAGGTTCTGTAATAGTCAATAGATTTGTAATAAAATGATCTAAAGTTATTCATGATTTGAAATTAAAAGCTGTGTATGCAAAAAATATTTCAAAGCTTAAAAATAAAATTAACTCTTTTGACTTCAACAAATATTCTAAAAGGATCAACTATTTGTTTGTTTGTAGTTATATAGTTTATTTTGTGGTGATATATAAATTTAGATTAATCACAAAGACCCATACAAATGGACACACAGTGTCCATCTTTGTATGGGCCTTCGTGTCCTTTAAAACACGTATTCGATGTTCAAATAAAATGTCAATCAATCAATCAATGATTCAGAAAATGAATAGACTAATTTTTATGTCTTGGTCAACTTGACAAAAATATAAATCTAATATCACAGTAACAATAAAATGCTAGAGGCTCTAGCATTTTATTGTTACTGTGTTTTATTTAATTTTATTATAAAACATGAAATATAAAACTTTGTCAAAAAATTTTCTTTAAATTTAATATCAAAATTTGATTCAAATGAATTTTCAAAATAAAATTATTTTATGTGTATTTATGATTTTGCCGTTTGAATGAAAATATCTACTTTTTGGTATTTGTTGCTTGCAGCATTAAATTTACACAAGATTTAACTTAGCATGTTTTTACATAAATGATACCACTGTGAAGTTCAGTTTAAGTTCATTAAAAACAATAGTTAACTATTTGTTTCATTCTTTGATACCCATTATAAAATTATTTAGAAAGCTTTATAATTTTATGCTTTAAACCAAAAGATTTGTTTTGAATTTTAGTTTATATAACCTTTAGACTTCTGTCTATTAAAATAATTTTTTCCTCAAAAACCACATAATATTATTTATATTTTTTTCAAGCTAACCAATTTGTTTTATATTCAAGAAAACTTGTTTTCAGAAAGATATTTAAACTAAAAATTTACAATCTATTTACTTACTTTAAGATACTTTAAAGTCAATTTAGAATACACCAAGTAAATTAAAGTGCAACAATTTATAAATATGATTTTTACTTGGAGCATAGCAAAACTAGTAAAACACATATATTATTTAATTTTTTATTAGGATGTAAACTAAATATATGATTAAGTTTAAAGTTTCTTCAAAGTATGCAAAATAAAAAATATGGATAAAGATCCTACAAAGTTAACATCATTTCAACCTCTGAATCCTGTTTCTTCTTCGTCATCATTTTCATTTTCTCGTTTTATAACATTTGGGCGTAAAAAAACCAGTCAGCCACCAAGATTACCTATTACACCAGAACTTTTGAGAAAAGATTCATTACTTAGCAATGAAGATTCTAGTGCTTTAGAAGAAGGTAGCAATTCAGAATCTATTTATGAAAAGGTAATACTTGTTCTTGAACAAAAATGTTCACTGTGAAAGCATATTAATTTAATATATATTTTTATCATGTTCTTAAAAATATTAATTTTTTAATATTTTTTTATTCCAATTTTATCTTTATTTCTATGCCTTTATTATATAGGATATATAAAAATGTTAAGACTTTTTTAAAAGAAACTGGCATCATCAGTGAATCTTTTGAAGTATTTTGAATTGTGTGTGTATGTTTACGACAGGGGTAAAATTAAAAAATCAAGATTAAAACTGCTTTTATAAGACCATATATCCTTGGTATTCATATTCTGTTTTTGAAATGGGTTTAAAAAAAAGTGAAAAACATATATATATATGGAACAAAATTGTTGTTCCAAATTTTGATTTGTCAATTTCGTTTTCCGTTTTTAAAACTAAATTAAAAAACTATATTCTTTCTACTGGCAATATATATAAATATTTTTGAAATGTAAAATTCTTTTTTTTTACTCTGGATAATTTGTAAAATTATTTTCAGTTTTTGTTTCTTCTACATTTTGTTTCTTCTACATTAGTTATTTGATCAATTGTATTTTATTTTATTATTTATACACGTATTATATCATTTATATAGTTCTGGCGACAAGATCATTTGGATCTTCTTTCAGATACCAAGTTTATATATTGTTATATTGTTATATTACGATTAATAATTGTAAACTAAAAAAAAAAAAAAAAAAAAAAAAAAAAAATTATTAAATCATTAAAAATTAATCATATATTATATAATTATAGTTATTTTTTTAAATAGTTTTTTTAAGTGATGTCTTTCTACCACTGTTTTTTGGAAATATTATATTTTTCTTTTTATTCTTTTTTATGTATTAGAATAATAATTTATTGTATATAAATTATTTAAAAAATTAATAATAATAAAAATAAAGTATAAGAACCATACAAAATAATATTTCAAAAATTTTTGAATATTCTGAAATTATTACGAGCATTAAAATTATTAGAAATACTTGAACTTTTAAAGTTATTATTTTTATAAATAAAATATTTTTAAATGTTATAACATTTGTTCTTAATAGTGTAGTACTTCTAATTTTTGTAATTGATAATATCAAGATCATAATATTTAGTGATATTTCTGTGATAAATCTGTATTTATTATGTCTATCCTACTTGCTCTAATTTATATTGGCAGTTGCCATATGTATACATATTTTCTACTTATTGCGTCTACTTAAAATGGCAGTAGTTAGTATATAACACATACATGTGTTATATACTAACAACAAGAAATTCAATACCATATATAATTTTTTGTTCAATAACATATTCTATTATATGATTTTTTGTTATTGAATAATATTATATTCAATAAAAATAATTGCAACCAAAATTGGGTCAGTATAAAAATTATAAGTGTATGTATGTTCTTATTAGTTACCATGCTTTTTTTCATAAACTTTGCATTAATTTTCATTTAATTAATTTGATACATGTAAACTATATATTTGGTTAAAAAACTAATTAACTTTTTTGTACTTATTCAAACATGTGCCTTTTTAGGGACCATAATTTTGTAAATAAAAAAGGACATAGTGTATAGTAATAGTTTTACCTAAAAAAATCATTTTTGCAATTATTACTTTAAATAATTTCTGAGTTGTACTTTAAAGTTGCTTGGTAATGCAAAATTAAAAATTTTTGAAACTTTGATGCCCAGCATTTCTATAACTACTGACAGGCAGTTTACAATACATTCACTTTATTAGCATAATATCAAGGTAAATAGTTCAATAAACTACAAAACTTTACATTGTAGAGATTTTGCGTAAAGTAAATCTTTCAAAAAAGTTATAAACCCTGTATTTATACTATAATTTCAGTCATTTGATTTAGGGGAAAATGTTTAAAGGTTGGCAATAAATTGCAGATTTGAAACCATTTTTGAAGGACCAGGTTTTGCACAAACTTTTTTAATACAAATGTTTCACCGTTAGCAACACAGAAACATGGATAGCAAAAATAGCTAACCTGAGACGTTTCTAAGGTGGCTGGTTGACATTGCCCAACCTAACTCCATAGACTGATTCTCAAGAAACTAGTTTTACCTCTTTTTATTTTATTTTGTAATATACATCCTTGTAATTTATGATATAATGTAATTTTATAATATACATGATTGAATACAAATTATATGCTGATAAATATTTGTTATTCCAGTTCTTAAGATCAACAGGTTTGCCTTAATTTATTAATTTGAAAATTGCAGAGTTACTGTCAGGTTGGGGTCAAATACATATTTGTATTTGTTAAAAATATGCTTATTTGACGTATTTGTATTTGTATTGCATTTGATTTAAAATTTCTTAAATGTTTGTATTTGTATATGATTAAAATGTGTTTGTGATTCCATAAAATAGATTACAATTACCAGGAACAACCAGGGAACACGTATGGCCCCACCCTATACTAATTTATTTATGGGAAAAATTAATGAGAAAATAATTGTCCAATTCTGTAGATTCACTGTAGATTTCTTTTTATAAATAATTTATAGATGATATATTTTTTATTTTTCATGGGCCTCCAGATAAACATAATAGAAATAAGACACATTTGCTGCTAACTACTAGTATACTCATAGTAAACAAATGCTATTTTTTTGCCAATCATAAGTGAGCTCTATAAGCTTTATCCAGTAATCTTCAGTAGTCTTTCTCTTCCAGTAAATTTCAGTTGTAATAGTGGTTGCTTGCAGCCTTTATGGGAACCAAGATGTTGAAAAAACAAACAAAAGAAAACTGTAAGTATACTTGTAAAGTACTGGCGCCATGAACTTGCCAACTATGAGTACACTCGTAGTTAGCAAAAAAAAAATTATGATGCCAATACTCTATGATTATACTTGTAGTTGGCAAAGAGATAGCATCTGGTTACTACGAATATATTATTAGTCATCAGCGAACGTGTTTACCTTTGTTTTTTTCCTAAAAAAATTTGTTTTTTAAGAAATGTTTGTTAGAATACTTATTTTTATTCTTCTATTTAGTAAACTATTTTAACAGTCTTAAAAAGATTTTTTTATTTTTTTAAATCTAAAATACATATATACTTTGAAAATGCATATTGCATATATTTGTATTTTAAGAATTCTAAAATGAACATATTTATTTTTGTATATGTTCAATTGTATTTGACCCCAACCCTGATGAATGCACCTTTTTTTTATGACAAGCTTTAGTTTAATGCCAGTAGCACATATATTCATAATTTTCTTTAATTTAATATATAAAGTAGATACAACATATATAATACAGCATATATAATACAAAATATATAAAGTAGATACAACATATATAAATATATAAAGTAGATGCAACATATATAATACAAAATATATAAAGTAGATACAACAAATAATAAGATGCAAAACAAATAATATGATCAAAAAAACTTTAACAACAAAGTTTAAAATACCAAACCAATAATTTGTGTTAAGTTACAAACACTTATATGTATATAGATTTGCAAAAAAGAGCATTATAAAAACATTTTATTTAAAAATAATTATCAGACTATTGATATATATTTTGAAGTTGAAACTCATTTACATTTTCTAAAAAATAATTATCTAGGTAAAAAAAATTTAATGCGATAGTGCTAATCCACCTTCCTACTTACCATATAATCATCTATAAAAAAATAGAATTAAAATATAATATTAAATTAATGCTCTCTATTTTAAGATAACCCTAAATTTTTTTGAAGTAACACATTTAAACAGTAATGCAGGGGTTTTAATAATTACTGCCCTTTTATTTGTACCCCTATCTAGTGCAAATATCTGATTAGTATTTTTTTTTTGTCAATCTTAGATCAATGAAAACTGTTTTAGAAAAATTTAAAGGCTTCTATAAATGGCTGAAAATTGGCCTTTTCAGGCTAACACACAATAAGTTTTAATAACTTTTTCTAACGATATAAATGAGGGCAAACTTTTTAAAATAAGAGAAACTTGTTGAAAATTAAAGAAAAGTCTATTTGCATTATTTCACAGTTTCAGACTTAAATTTCAAATTTGATAAATAAAAATCAAGAAAATCAGAAGGATAGTGTCTCACAATGTTTTTTTTAATTTTGTTAAAATAAACTTATTTAGTGTTAAATGTGCAAACAAAACTAAATAGTAATGAAAACACTTTAATATTACAGATAATAATTACAACTTAAAACTTTGTCATTTTTAAAAAAGATAAGTGTTTTTGTTTAAAAAACTAAGTTTTAAGAAATTTTAAGCTTTTTTAAAATTCTAATCTCTCTGTTTACTAAGACCCCCAAGTTTATAAGATTTTAGAAATATTTTTTTCCCTACCAGATATTTTATAACTGGGTATAATATTTTATATTTTATAATTTTAACTCACTACAGTCCCTGGCCACAATATTATGATTACCTCAGTTTTTCCACATACTTTGTTTTCAAAGTTATTTTAAAGTAATTTTAAAGTGAGTATATTATTAAGACTAGCTTGTTATACAATACTGACATCTATCAAATAAAATAGAAAGAGAATTTCTTTATAATCATGACAAATGTAAAGTTAGATGTGTTTTAAATCAGCAATGTGAATTTTTGTCAATTTAAAAAAAAATGTGGATGATCTGTCGCATACATTTTTTTTATACTTTAACAGTTTTTATTGAGTGAAAAGCATAATTTCATAAGTAAAAGTACTTTTACAATGTTCAGAGTGTTCATAATAGGATATTGCTAAAATGTGTAAAGCTTCGCAACCTTTTGTCAATAAAATCAAACATAAAATGGAAAACAACATCATTCTTTCTCCAAAAAGGAAAGGGCAGAGTGAGTCAAAGCGTAAAACCACTCCCTGGACATACAGAATTATAAGAAATATTTGTCTGGAGAATAAAAAAAAGTCATTCCTCTTCCTGAAAAAACTTGTTTAAGAGTCTGGAATACAAGTTTTGAAGCGCACATTATGAAAATGTCTGGCTGTAGATGGTTTAAAATTACACAAACCGGATAACTCCGGCAAAAAATTATAAATATATGACTGTTGGAAATTGGGAACATGTGAGTTTATCAATTTTGAATGAAATATTTATAAAAAAGTGTTTAAATGTTGACAACCACACTATGATGATTTTTTAGGTGCGTTTTTCAGACAAATCAACTTTTGAAATCTTGTTGGACAAAGCCACCTTTGTCCGACAAAGACCTAATGAAAAATATCATCTAGATTGCATTGTACAAGCTATTAAACATTCAACTAAAGTTATGGTTTTAGACTGGCCAGGGAACTCTCCTGACCTGAATACGATTGAGAATTTGTGAAACATTCTCAAGAAGGAAACCTCTTCCGAAGTTTCAACAAACAAAAGGAATTGAAAAGTTACTCTATCATTGGCACCACAATGAAAAAATTAAGACAGCAGCAATAAACTGTATTAAAAGTATGCCAGATCAAATAGCTAAAGTCATTTGGTTGAAAGGAGGAATGACAAAATATTAATATTTCTTTATGAATTGCGATCAAAAAGAGTAATTGTTTGTTAAAATGTGTGTAAATTGATTTTAAGATTTTATTTTATTGTTAAGGAAACATGTTTTATCAATAAAATATAACTAATATATTGCAATTGTACTTTTTTTATATTTTTTACAAACCTTTGAAGTTAAAAATACACAAAAATTGTAAACAAGCTAGTTTAATTGTGTGTAACCATTTTAATCTTAATATATTCACTCTTGATGCCTACTCTGTTCCACCTTTTGATCTGATTATATCTCCTAAATGATTCTCCTAAATGTCTTCTTTTATTAGGATTATTTAGGAGAAGAAAAACTGTTTGTTTACATTGTAACAAAAGTAAAACAAACAAAAAAGTAAGTCTGCAAAATAAACTTTTTTATTTATTATTTAAACAAACTATTTCTCAATTAACTAATCAATATTTTATGCCATTTAAATTTTTAATGCAAAAATTATTTGTTATCAGCAGTACAAGGAGACATAAGAGAGTTTTTTTATTAAATTGATTCAAAAATCAACTTTTTTTATCATTTGATTTTTCAGAGGAACTCCATTTTCTTCTCCTAAATAATCTCAATCTTAATTTTGATTACTTTTTGTTTTCACCTACAAAAATTGGTTAAACTAAAAGTAAAATGAACATTTTTAATGAGAATAGAGTGGTTAGAGAAGGTTCGAGTTTTAAGGGTTTTTTCAAAAAACTCAAATCCTCAATTGATCTATGTACTGAATGAAAAGACTGCACATTCAGCATTGTATAAATCATTGATGGTTTAGATGCAGAAATAAATTATAATTACCACAGAAAACAGGTGTAGATTTCTGATGATTACTTTTTGATCATATGTTATTTGATAACAACCTTATCTTAATTAAAAAATTTATTATTATATGTGTTATCGTATTATATTTAATATATATTATTATGGTAATTAAAATTATTGTTTTTTTAATCTAGAAAGAAAATCTGTATACCTGGCTTACAAGAAGTAGTTCAAACAATGAGAATACTATTTCTTTAAGTAGTTCTACAAATAATTCTGGTAAAGATAAATGGAAATACCGAAATGTACGTACTATTATGCGAAGACTGAGTGCTCTAACCATTGATAGAAGGTGGCATCAGGTACCAATTAAAAAAACTTTAATCTCTATATAATTAAGTATTGTATACAAAGTTGATGTATAATTATGTTTAATTATATATAATTATATATAAAAATATATAATTTGTGTGTGTGTATGTATATATATGCATATATAGAGGCCTTGCGATAAAGCGTCGGGTGATGTGAATTTTACGTCGTCCAAGAGCGATTTTGCGTGTAGCTAGAGCTATTTGCGTCGAGCAAAAAAATTTTTGTTTGAGTATATTTAAAGATATTTTTGAGCGGAATTTTAATGAAGTAATTGACGATTATTTTAACATTTAATAGAGTATTTTAAAAACCGCACGCAGTTGAAATAAAAGTTTGAATTAAAAAAAATTAAATATGCTCATTATTTACAAGTAGAAAAAATTCAGATTAAAAAAAAAGTTTAAATCTTTTAAGCTAACATTTTAATAAAATTATTCAGCAATAGCAACGTTGTCGATAAAATTTAACAAAAATACTTTCTTTTAGTTTTAGATTTTTAACTTAAATAATTATTTTAAGGGGGTTTGTTAGGTTTTAAAATTATTCCATAGATTTAAAAATATTTATTAACTGTTAGACGTATTTAAAGTATTTAAGAGTAATTTCGAGGGAACATTTTAAAAAATGGTGAGCGCAAATAAAAAAAAAAAGGGATTAATATTAAAACGTATTCTACTTGATTCAATAAAAAAGTACAGTTATTAAAATTTTTGTAAAAAGTAACTCAAAAAAATTACTTAAATAATAACGATCGCTTTTATGTTAAAAGTTACCGAAACTCAACGAAGCGTGCTCAAGAACAGCTGCTGAAAAATAAAACGTCAATAGTTTTTCGAATAATTTATAATAATAATTTTTAAGAATAATTTTTTCGCTGAAATATTTCTTTTATACCTATAAGATTTTTATTTTAACATTTTATTTTATTTTACTAGAAATAAAATTCCTTGTTAACATTAAAAATCTATTCAAAACGCTCGTTTAAGTTTTTTATTAATACGAGTGATTGTGCTTATCAACCGCTTTATGGAAATAAATATAAATAAATAAATATTATATAAAATCGCTTGTAAAAATATTAGCTATTGCACAGTTTTTAATCGTACAATATTAAAATTTCCAGTTTATTACTCGCTGACTTTTTAAAAAGAAAAAATAATTATTTGAAAAACTTTAAATTACATATTTAAGAAAAAAAAAATCAAATATTAGCATATTTTATAATCTTTTTTAAATTTAAGTTATAATGTTTTTTATTCGTTTAGTATAGACAAAACGTGTCAAACGTCGAGAAAATAAACAAATGTTTTTACATTTTAAAAAAAGAAACATTCCAAAACATTTTTAAATAATAATATTTTTACATAAACAATTTAAAGTAGTTTTGCGGTAATTAAGTAAATTGGTGCAGTTAATGTCGATAAATATGAAAAGCAAATAAAAAGAATTTAATGATGTCAAAAATCATGTCGTGCTTATGCGTCGCGCAGTTCTTATTCATCGCAAGGCCTGTATATATATGTATATATATATATATATATATATATATATATATATATATATATATATATATATATATATATATATATATATATATGTATATATATATATATATATATATATATATATATATCTGTGTGTGTGAAAATATATATATATATATATATATATATATATATATATATATATATATATATATATATATATATATATATATATATATATATATATATATTTATATTTATATATTTACACACAGGTTTCTAGGTTGAAATATACATTTTGTGGGTATTTAAAATCCAATGCCAAAAGTCAGTATGGCTGCCAAAATTTTATCTTTTAAGTATTTTTAACTTTTTCTGCCAATGATGAGCTGAATACTTATTCTACGGTAAAATATACTTTTACAAATTTCAATATGGCTACCAGAATAGAGGTTCCAAGTTTTGTTTAAGTTCTATTATAAAATGAATGGTACTAATAATACATACATGTTAAATATAGTATAAATGACATATGACAGAAATTAAAGATATGCATGATTTATCCAAACACATTTATTGTTATTAAAATTTTTTAACAATCACCAAATGTATCATACTGTACAAATATTTGTATATTATTATATTTCTAGCATACAAACACAAATGTTTAATATATTTATACAAACTTTCATGGATTGTAACTTTTTTGTTAAAAAGTCTAATATGACAGTACATTAATTTATAATAAATGTTGACACGGATGTGTCGTGATACCGTTTATGTTAATTTTGTGCATTACTCCTTTGTAAGATTGCTGAAATCTATGAGTTTCCGGTAACTATTGACATCTAGAATGATGTAATTGTTACGTTTAGCATCCTCTGAATAGTTAACATTCTCTGTAACATCTCTGACTGCTCTCTCTGCTACATCATTGACTGCTTTAATGGTGTGAAGAGTATGGCTGAATCTCTGATATTCAGGATCATTATGCTACATGGGAGGATCAATGGCTAGAAAGTGATTTCTCTGAGGGACTTCGATGATAGGTCCAGCTTTATTGACTCTTGTCATTTAGGTTTCCTCTCCTTTAAGTATCATGTGGAGTCATTGAGTTCTGTATCTGTATTTATATCTTCACATTCGAACATTGGTTTGTTGACCTCATGTGCATTTCATTCCTCATCCATCTTGTTTTGGTATAGAGCCCATTGTTCTTGTGTTCTTGCTATCTAATCTTCTTTTTGGTTTAATTTACTTACTGCTGTTTGATCGATGTTGGTCAGAATAGTATAATAGGGACTGGTGATATCTTTTAGACTGAGTGAGATGTTTTCTTTGTCTAGAGCTAAACTGAGTTTTTTAGGGTGTCCAACTTGACCTGGTATCTTCATCGGAAGATGTAATTAGATGATTTACAATCATCTAATTACAATAATATATCAATAATGATATTAATAATTGATATTATAATAATAAAAATAATAATAGTAATAATAACAATAATAGCAATAATAATAATATAAGAACCAGTATAAGAATATCTATAATATCATAAATAATAAAACCAAAATATCATTATTATTAATAAATATAAATAAATAATTAACAAGGAAGGAGTCACTGATGCAGAAACCTAATTAAAGGAGTGATACCAAATAATTATATTAATACTATTAATTTAAAAAAAAATAATAACAATATTAACTTTATTCATTAATAGAGCAAAAGTAACAGCAAAAATAAAAGTATTTTTTACAATTATAATAATAATAGTAATAATAAAAATAGCAGTAGTTTTGAAGGGGCATAACTCCCTTGGTTCATGAGATAAAAATTTAATTTAAAAAAGAAAAAAATAGTATATTAGGTGGTCAATTTATTTGTATATAGCCTAATCGGCACCAAGTTGACTCAGAATGACGCAAAACAAGAGATTTTTCTATTTTAGAAAGGCAATACTTTATTATGTTGTGCAATTTCTTGAGATTAATTGGACGACATTCAGACACATTTGCAGGGTTATCTTCTCTTTTGAAAAAAATGATATTTTTCTCATTTATGTAGTTTTGTACAGATTTTTTATAATGAGACCATGCTAGATCAGGCCAAAATATGTATTTACCATCAAAATGATGCTTTTTAACAAATGGAATTAGTTTGTTCTTGATAAAATCAATTTTGCAGATTTCTTAGTTGATTGCAAATCCACTTTCTTTGAATATTGGCGAAGATATTCCTTTTTCAGAAAAGCCAATCCAAACAAGTAATTTCTTTTTATATTTTGCAGTAGGATTGAATTTGACTATTGTTGGTGTTTTAGAAACACAACTTGAGTAATATATTTCATTTCTGTTAATCAAAGAGTGGTTAAATGTGAAGTATGACTCTTTGTCAAAATTAAACAATTTATTAGCGGAAATTCGATACAGCTGACCGCACTTCGTTTGAACTGTCTCTATTTGGTCACAAGTTCTTAATAGAATTTATCTTCCTTATTGGCCAGATTAAGGATTTTGTTTTAAATGTTCTGCTATATACTTTGGTGCACTTAAATTTCTGAGTTGCTTGTGTTTGTGATGCCATCTTTATTCTGTGTTAGAGAAAAAATTAAAATATTTGTTAAAATTTATCTAATAAATATATTTTACTCATCTTAGTCAGAATAGTTTTTCTTTTGTTAAGTGGAACTTTTACTTATATATATATATATATATATATATATATATATATATATATATATATATATATATATATATATATATATATATATATATATATATATATATATATATATATATATATATATATATATATATATATATATATATATATATATATATATATATATATATATATATATATATATATATATATATATATATATATATATATATATATATATATATATATATATATAGGTCTGGGCAGGAGTAAAAACCGCACGGGCTATGAAAAGTTTGTCTTAAATAGACTTGGTGGGCTAGGAGGGCCGCCCCGCCTAGATGGTCTTGCGCAGGCTTTTTCAAACTTAAAAAAACAAGTTTTAAAGTTCATTCATTTTCCTTCTTCTTTTTGAATGAAAATGTCATTGAATATTAAACATTTTGTGAATTGCACTAAAATAATAAGTTAGAGAGCGACTAATTGTTTAAAATGCTTAATTACTTAAATAATTAAAACACTGAAGTAAATGAGTTGGATACTATTTGAAACTTAAAATTATATATAAGTTTTCATAAAATTATAGATAAGTTTCAATAATTGTTTTTCAAAGTTTTTATTTGCACAGATCTATTTTCGTTTCATGTGGGTTGGTTGTTTTATGGTTGCTTTTGTTTAGATTTGTTACTTGAAGAAACTTTATTCAGTTTCATGTTCGTTTTTTTTATCTTTATTCCAGATATAGTCAAACCAATGAACTTGAAAATGACGGAAAAAATCTTAAAAACAACCATGACGTTTCATCACGTTTCCTTATTCAAGTATCCTGACGTGTTTTTTTACCGAAGTCTTTTTTAGCATATTTATATATTATTGTTTTATTCAAGTATTCGATTAAATTATACAGGTTTTTATCGTGCTTTTTTATTTCATTCGTTTCTCTTATTCTTTGTGAATAAAAATCTTACAGAATGATAATATTTTCAAAATCTAACTACGACTTTTCAGCTATAGCCACAAATAGTTTGAAATCTTTTTTTTTTAAATCTTTAATCAATGAGTTCGATACTTTTAGAATTGTTTGGTAATAGTTTAGTAATATGTTACGTAACTATGTTGTTTTTCTGATTCAATTGTTTATATACTCTTGCATTCTATTAGGCGAGCAAATTAAAAACTTAAACTGTTTATAATTTATATTTTTATAACTTCGCTTTACCTATGCCTATCCTGATCGGAAATAGTTATTCTGATACGTAAATAAAAAATTTGAAATTTAATTTCTTTTAATAAAATAAGTTTTTATTTAGAAGTACTAATAATTTTTTAAGATACTGGGGCTTCCACTACTCCTTATACAATATAAGCATGTATAAAAGAAGTGTTATATAAATGAAAAAAAAATTGAGTTCAAATGATTGTTGACTTTAAAATTCATTTTTATTTTAGATACCAGATTTATTGTTGTAAAATATATTTATATTGAATTCAAATGCATTAAATAGTGTTAGTATAGCAAAGAAAATATGAAGACCAATGTATATATATATATATTTTTTTATACATAGGATAAAAAAGGAAACGTGTATAGTTATATTTTATTTGTATATAATTGTTTTACAAAAATTAGGGCAAAACTTCTTCAATTTCAAAATCTAACTCAGTTTCTTCACTTCCACTCAATTCTGATATTTCCAATTCACTTTCACTGCATAAATCTGATTCAACGAAATCTTCTTTTTTTTCATTTTCTTTTGTAGCAAGTCTTAGGCTGATTGGATCAAAAATAGCTGTTTGTTGTTTTTGTAAAAAAATATCAGTAACGCATTCAATAACATTTTCCCTGTCACTATTAGTAAAATTTGGATCATTTATTTTAATTGCCAAGATGGTGTTAAGTGTTTTGTGATTAATACTGAGTCTTTGATCTGTCATAAGGATTGTCAGGAGATTAAAGGCTCGTTCTACTGATGAGTTCGACCCATATAAGCATATAATTAAATTTGCTAGTTTGCATAAGTTTGGGTACTCATTCCGTCGACTTTTTAAAGTATGGCTCCATATATCATGAGCTGGTTTAGTAAGATAATTTACCTTAACAAATATTTTGAATTTTTTGAATTCTTGTAAACAATTCTTAATTAAAAATCCTGTTTTATTTAAAACTTCTTTAAAATGAGCATAAAGTTTTTCAATTTGTTTAGATTCGTTTTCTGATCCCCATTGATTTGGATTAAACCACCTCATGCTGTTGTATTTCGGTGTGCGTGTTTCAGAAAAACAACTCTCGAGTACTAAATTAAGTTTTTCTATAACAGTTTTCTTTTCAGCAATAGCTTTTTGACGGATATCTTCATTCACATTAGTCATTTCAAAATTGAATTCAACTAGTCTGTGATCTTTTTTCAACTTGTGGACATCTTTTCCATTAAAACATTTGGAAACTACTTCATTTGCTCATACAATAACAAATGACGCCATGAGGCTTGTAAGTGTATCTTCTTCAATGGGGCAATGAATGGCTTCTACCAAGTTCAATTTTGTTTCTTGAATAATTGGCTCTACTTCGTAAGCCATAAGCCCTGCATTTTCGAACATTTTTGATACTGGAGTTATTAACTCTAATTCATTGAGGTAACAGCAGACCGAACACATAAGTTGATAGGATTTCAACTTTTTTAGTAACCCTTTAACTTTTACTTTTACTGCAGTTGTGCTCTTTGAATCGGCAATAACATTTTCAAAAACAGTTGTTAAGGGTTTCCACAGCGCTAGAAATCGTTTACACGCCTTACGACGATAACACACAAACCTATTACCTAAATTATATAAATATAAATATAAATATATAATTTATTGTCGTCGAAATGTCAAAGCAATTAAATTAATGGGGAAGTACATTAAATTTTATTGTTTTTTAAAAAAACCGCACTAGAAAGTTTTTTTTAATTAGTGGTGTTTTTGTTTTTGTTTTATTAAAAAACATTTTTAAAACATGCGTAAGTGTTGCTACATCGACTATCTTATAGCCTGACTCGCTACAGAGTGCTGCTACATCTACTGACAAATAGCCTGACTCGCAAGGGAGTGCTGCTACATTGACTGACATATAGTCTGACTCGAAAGGGAGTGCTGCTACATCAACTGAGGCTTGGTTTGGACAGGCAGTCTATCATTTAAAAAAAAAAAAAAATTTTTTTTGAAGTTTTTCAACATTTTCTGGTCAGGTTTATTAACGGGCTCTTTAAAACAACAGTTTATGGGAAAAACTTTGTGACTACCATGCAAGACTGTATATATGTATATATATATATATATATATATATATATATATATATATATATATATATATATATATATATATATATATATATATATATATATATATATATATATATATATATATATATATATATATATATATATATAACCATGGAAAAGTGGAAAAGTATATTTTATTGATAATTTAAAAAAAATTCTAGTTTTATCAGTCGTTCAGGAGATAACTTATTTAAAAATTAAAAAAAATATAATGTATGTATAAAACTTTAAATATTACTTTAAATAAAACAAGTTAATACTTTTAATTATCTGGACACCAGATCTTCGTAAGACATCGATTTCAAATTTAAAAGCCGTTAAAGGAAGGTTGGGTTTTGATGCCAGTTCATATGCTATTTCTATCAGTTTTTTGTAAGAATCCTTTTTATTGTTTTGCATAAAATCAACCAATGTTTTCTGGTGTTTAGCAGGGTTTGATGTAGTTGCAGCAGAAGAAACATATTTGGTATCAGCATTTTGAAATTCTAATGGAAGTTTATGGCAGTTGCCTTCGCCATAATGTCGTTTAACCTAGATAAAATATATTTTTTGTTATATTTATTACATTAGTAAAAAAATATAAAACATTATTTAATAATTAGTTGTAAATAAAATACATACTTTGCTAGCTTTAACGTCAGTAGCGCCCTCTATAAATGCTAATGCTGATGACTTTGCCACACCTTTTAACCCGCGAAGCAATTCTTTTTTTATATTTTATACAAACCATACACCATATCTTCACAACAAAAATTGTTCCATTCTCCACCTCTGTTTCTTTTCCACAGACTCCATCTTTACCCTAACTCAAAAATTTTGCTAATGTAACTCTTCTACCTGAAGATGCCATTACTATCTTTACTGAAAAACTTGAATAACTTGAAAAACTTTGACAAACTAGTTTATCAAAAAAAGCGAAATACATGGATAATTTGTTTATTATCGTTATTATTATAAATACCGAAAAACCAAAATAACATAATACTTCTTGTGCATCACATGCGTATATAGGTGCCCCAAGAAGATCTAACAGTCAGTCTTGCACCCGTCTAAACTGACTTAGACGGGTGCAGAGACGGGCACAGGCTATAGTTCGTCATTCCTGCCGAGGCCTATATATATATATATATATATATATATATATATATATATATATATATATATATATATATATATATATATATATATATATATATATATATATATATATATATATATATATATATATATATATATATATATATATATATATATATAAATAATTAATATTAAACCATATAATTCTATCATATTTAGAGTAATGGTGATTTCAAGCATAATTTTAAGCAGTATTGGATGCCAGATGAACATTGTAAAGAGTGTTATGAGTGTTCCGATAAGTTCAACACTTTTAGAAGGCGACACCATTGTAGAGTATGTGGTCAAATTTTCTGTAGTCGATGTTGCAGTCAAGAAGTACCTGGAAAAGTTATGGGATTTTCAGGTATTTAAAATCATAAAGTTTATGTATTTTGAATATAATGTATATATATTGGAATAATTAAAATATTTCTTTTCTAAATATTTTGAAGCATATTGCAGCGTCAATACATTTACGCTTTTTTATTAATTTTAAACTCATTAAACCTGATTAAAAAAAGATTAATTGATTTAATTTAACTTAAATCTAATTTATTGTTTAAAAGACTAGTTGTTCAATAAAAGACTGTGTTATTCAATAATTGAATAATCTTTTTGTTTTATAAAGTGAAATTTTTATTAATTATTAATTAAAATTTCACTTTATAAAACAAAAAGATTTATTTGGAACATAATTTTCTGATAGCTTGCAAAGTATATGGATCATTCCATGCAAAATGGAGCAAAATTTTATGAGGTTCTTCATGAACCAACTCGAATTTTACTGAAACTTTTTGATTTTGTACACATTTTTTTTTTTTTTTTAAACATCTTCGCTTCCAACAAGACTGCAAGCAAACACTAATTAGTGTTGGAATTTACTGGAAGAAAAAAGATGAAGATTGTAGCACAAAATAACAATTGACAGATGGCTTAAAAGATTGCAAATTATATGAATCAGGAAAGCAAGATGAAGAAAGCGAATTTCAAAGAACTGATGTTCGAGGAAAAAAACTGGACAAGTAAGAGTTTTTTGAGGACTTAGGAACAGTAACAGAAAAATGATGAGACTTAATTGAATGACGAGTAACACGAGAATGAGTTTTAGTAGATGGCACAAGAGACGCTAGCTCTTTAGAGCAGTGCCCATTATAGTATTTGTAGAAAAGAGAAAGAGAAGCAACATTACGACGATGTGACAGAGGTTGAAGAGGTTGAAGAGGTTGGCTGCAAGAGCAGGTCCAACTATGTTAACAATGCGTTTTTGCACCTTGTCTAAAAGAGAAAGGGCATCATTAGAAGATATGGCAGCAGATATTGCATACAAGGCTGGATTTGAGATTTATAGAGATAGAGAATAGAATCCAGAGTAGGAAAGTGTCGGGTTCGATAAAGAGAAGCAACTTTAGCAGATGCTAATTTTGCAACGGATTTGATATAAAGTTTCCAAGAAAGACCAGAAGTAAGAGTTAATCCTAGAAGATGAAGGGTAGGAGACTCATCAAGTACATTACCGTTCATAAATATAGGAAGGTCTAAATTATTGCGATAACAATTGGCTGAAAAAAATTGAGTTTTATTTGAATTAAAGTTCACCAGCCACTGTGAGCCCCATGCTGTAGCAGAAGTGAGATCCTTTTCAAGCTCAGATGTCCCCTGCAAGCAATCAAAGGGAGTTGGCTTCTTATCGTGACAAGAATAAATGGTAGTATCATCAGCGAACAATGCCACCTTAGATGTGAGAATATCTGAAAGATCGTTAATGTAAATTAAAAAGAGTATAGGGCCAAGGATTGAACCTCGAGGAACCCCTGAGGTTACAGAATAAGAAGAAGAGTGCTATCCATCAAGGACAACTTTATACTATGATTGGAAAGGAAGGATTCAATAATCTTAAAGATGTTTCCAGATACACTGTAAGAAGAAAGCTTATGGAGAAGACCAGCATGCCAAACTTTATCAAACGCCTTAGAAATGTCAAGAGCGATGGCCTTAACCTCTCCAATGCGTGATAAAACCTATTGTTTATTACTGATAGCAAATCAGCCGTAGAATGAGAAGATCTAAATCCATATTGATGATCAGAAAGTAGGTTATGAGATTCGAGATTAAGTGTTTGTTAATTAAAGATTCAAAAACCTTGCTTATAATAGAAAGAAGACTAATGGGACGGTAGTTAGACGAATCAGATTGCTCTCCAGAGTTTTAAAAAATAGGGATAACAGATGCTGCTTTCCAGCAGGCTGGAAAACAAGACTCTGATAAGCACTTGTTCAATAGTTTTGAAAGGATAGACAACAGCTCCGGAGAACACTTCTGCAAGACTATAATGGGTATATTGTCCGGGCCGCAAGCTGTAGAAGAGTCTAAGTAGGAAATCACTTTAGATACAGAAGCTTGCCCTTATTATTGATACTATTAAAGATTGTCCAGAAGTCACAAGAGCCTAATTTTTGTGATGAAATACGAGTGTTTATGATCTTAGAATAGCGGGCTTTGGCGTTAGACAAAACCTTTTTACAATGGTTCCTAGCAGTAATAAACAGACGTCTGTTTTCTGGAGAATTGTTTTGCTGATAGATATGGAAGTAATGGTTTCTATTGGTAATTGCAGCAGCACAATGTGAGGAAAACCATGGAGAAGAGTGAGGCTTGACCTGGAATTGTCAAGAGAGAATAAAAGATTCCATGCCAGCCTGAATCCATGAAGTTGTGTAAGAAGCACATTTGTCAACAGGAAGACGAAAGATTTCTACTCAGGGGCCATCATGAAGAAAATCACGGAAAGAGTTCTAGTCAGCTTTTAGGTAGTTGTAAGATGTATGATGATAAGGGGATTCTGATGGTAAAGAAGAATTAAAATATCATTTAAAAAAAGCATCAAATGGCTTTAATTCTTATTCTGTGCACAAGCTTATGGGTACCATCAAAGCAAAAGTTCAAAATTTTATATCCCACAGGAATAATTTTTATAGATAAAAATTATAGATATAGTTAGAACTTATACATTTATAGTTATTATACATAAATAGTAATATATTCTGTAAATTATTATATAGATTATATTATATATAATGTATTATTTCTGTAAAAGTTGTTGTTATACACAAATGCTGAAAATACTAAGAGATTTGACTAATCAGAAAATCTTGTAAAATTTAATCACAAAACTTGCTTTCAGAGCTTGCTTTCGAAGCAGAGTTTTTATGAAAAAAGAAATATCCAAACCTAGTTAGTTATTATTTTTATACCAGCAGAAATACAAGGTGATCATAATAAATGACATAAGTCATATATGAGAAAATAACTTTTGAACAAGTTGGATTTATATTACAATTATTTTATGATATCAAGTATGCTAAGAATACTTTTAAAAGAATGAAAAATATAAATTCTGGCACCTTAGCTTTTTCCATAATAGCGAGCTAAAGTTAAAATTTTTGTTTTGGAATTTTTTTTTTGATTTTAAAGAGCTTAATTTTAAAACAAAAAAATAATTCAAATACAAAAAAAAGACAAATGAAATTTTTTAATTTATAATTGCCTGTTGATCAACAGGCAATTATAAATTAAAAAAAAAAATTAGTTGATTACAGAGCTGCATTAAAATAGGTCATCAAAATGAGCTAGATTAGGATTTTTCAAAAATGATCTCCAATGCAAAGCATCTGTTACCTAAAGTAGCACCTTTTTTTTTTCCTTTTAAAATTTCTTATATGCATCAATCGTCTTTGATTGATGCATATATATGATGTGTTCATTAATAAAGACCAAAAAATAATAATAGGCACTTATATGTAATTCTAAAATATCTATAAGTCTCTAAAAGTCAGGAAAATTTTCCATAGATCTTTTCTTTTTAAAATAATGTTTTTTAAATTAAATAATGCTCTTTGTTATAAAATATTAATCAAAAAATACCAATGGGTATAACCTTATAATCCCAATTAATAAAAAATTATAACCCCCACTTTTTAATAATAATAATAATAATAATAATAATAATAATAATGCAAATGCTGTTGAGAGCGCCAGGCAATATCTATGACAGCCAACACAATAGTTGTCTAAAAATTTAACTGCAACCTGTTTTTCTTGTTCAGTATTATCTACAAGTCAATCAGCTTAAGTCTGGATTTAAACTCTTTGACTGATTTAGACTCCACTACCGATTCCGGTAAATTATTCCATCCAAAGACAACCCTGTTTGTAAAAAAGTGTTGTCTACGTAAACAATTTTTAACAAACTCTGATTTAACACGATGTTACGATATTCTATCAGCCTCAATGATAACCAAAGAGGTTACAATGATTGTAACCTCTAATATTGGATGCTGGACCTGGTGTGTTGATTGAATGCATTAGTATCTGGACTTTCTTCATATCAATAAATTCAAAACCTTTATATAATTTATATTGTTGTATAAGGTCACCTCTTAGTCTTCGAACTTCTAAAGTTGTTAAATCTAATATTTTTAGTCTTTGATTATATCTCAGATGTCTTAACTCTGGTATCAGTTTAGTTGCTCTTCTTTGAACTTTTTCAAGTTCTCTGATATCTTTTTTATAATAGGGATTCCAAGCTTGAATCGCAAACTCTAAATGAGGTGTAACATAAGTGCAATAAAGCATTTTCATGAGGTACTTATCTTTATACCTAAAAGTGTTATTTAATATTGCAAGCATATTGTTTGCTTTACTGGCAGCATTCCTTACTTGTCTTTCCCATTTCAAATCCTTGGATATATAAATACCTAAATCTTTTTCAAGAGTAGATTTTTCAATTTCTTTTAGTTCGCCATCATTTTTCATGAAATAAGAGTATCTTTTATTACTTGCACCAAAGTGCATTATTTTACATTTCTCAAAATTCAAACCCAGTTTCCATTCAACAGACCAATCTTCAAGTTTTTTTATGTCATTTTGAAATGATTTTGAATCAACCTCTTTATAAATAGGAGCGATTATTTTTTTGTCATCAGCATACAAACAACATTTATTAAGAAGTCTGCTTGGTAAATCGTTTATGAATATCAAGAAAAGAAGTGGGCCAAGTACAGAACCCTGTGGTACTCCACTTAACACATCAACCCAGTTTGCCTTGCATTTTCCCATCATTACTTGTTGTTTCCTATTCGATAAGAATGATTTAATCCATTTAAGAGACATACCAACAATACTGGATGCATAAACCTTAGCACATAATTTTATGTGTGAATTTTCCAAATATCAGGTACAGTACCATCTTCTGTAGATTTTTTAAATATTAAATAAAGAGGATATGAAATTGATGTACTGCATTATGACACTAAATCTTTTAAGATATTTATATATAAAAGATGTAATTTTATTTTTTTTAATGTAATTTTTTTTTTTTTAATGTAATTTTTTTTTTTTAATGTAATTTTTTTTTTTATGTAATTTTTTTTTTTTTTTAATGTAATTTTTTTTTTTAATGTAATTTTTTAATGTAATTTTATGATATAATTTAATTCTGATAAAAAATATATGATTTAATTTAAAACTAAGTTAATAAAAATATAGAATTTTATTCTGATAAAAAAAAACATAATTTAATTTTGATTTAAAAAATACATAATATACTAATTCTGATTAAAAAAATATATTTAAGTTTATTAAAATTAAAGTTAATGCTTGGGTTTAACTTAACTGTCAAATTTATTTTAAAATATTACCAAATATTGTTCAATATTTAGCTCATTTTTATTGTAATTTTTTTTTTTGGTTTTTCTTCCTAAACATTTTTTTTCACTTAAAATTTTAGATATTATAAATTTTAAATATTATAAACATTTTCCAAGGCTGTATCAAAAATTTACACAAAATGTAAGTTAAACTTTTTTTTATATTACAAGTAGAGCTCAGCAATTATTTTTTATTAAATGATATATATTATTTTTTATTAAATGATATAATAATATAATTTTAACAAATGGTATTTGCTTTCACATATCATCGTATATATATTCTGAAATATCATATATATATTCTGAAAAATAATTTTATGGATATTTACAAATAGTAATTCTACTAATATCAAGTAAACGCCGAAAATATAGATCTTTATATATATAATTAGTAATAATTATAAGAATAAGAATTAAAATAATAAAAATAATATTTATAGTAATAAACATAAGAACCACAATAACAATAAAAAAACCAACAACAATAACAATTATAATATTAATTAAGTTAAAAAAAAAATCAAATAATGTGACTTGTTTTTATAAACACAATAACTAAATATACCTATAAGTTAGATACCAACAATTGACTGATAAAACCTAACAACTAACAAGAACATAAAACATTTATTTAAATTGAAAATAATAAAATATTAATAATAATAGTAAAGTTAAAAATAGTAATAACTGTGGCTACGATAAATATTTAAAACTAAAAGAAATAAAACTATAACAAAAAACATGATAAAAATTAAAGTTAAAATAAAGAAAAACAAAAAAGCATTAAAAAAAATGTGAAAGTTTAATATTGTTACATGCACACACAAACACAAATATAAAGATATACACATACTTACCCACATGCATAGATACACACATATTTGCACATAAATACACGCGCGCGTACATGCACTCACATAGCAATGTATACATACACATATAGATACATATACATATACAGCTTTAAAAATATATACATTTTTTAAAATGTCTAACTAACATAAAATTAAAAACATTTAAATTAAAAAACATACGATGCAAACAACGCACTAAATTATATAACAAAATGAATTATACTCTACAATGCCCAATTAACAATACACAAGAATAAAAAAACATAAAACAACAACAAAAAAGACAAACATCCCTCAAAATTATATAAAAATTTAAAAAATATTCTTTTACGTTTCTATAAAATCGGAGTAATTTTTATATTTTATTTTAATTGCTTTTAATTACTTTTCATTGTCAAACATTTTTTTCTTTTAACTTTGGATTTTTGTCTTTCCTTTGTCTTTTCTTGTTTATTTTTATGTTTTTTTTTTTTTTTTGTTAGTTTGTTTGATTTGGTTTTTTGTTTGTTTTTTGCTTTTTCATTTCCTTCTTTTTCTTTTCTTCACTCTCTTTATATTTATTTTTCTTATTTTATTATTTTTTCTTTGTCTTTCTTTCTATTTTGTTTTTGTTTTTGTTTTTCTCTAGTTTATTTATAAAATCTTTATAAAAAAGCATCTGCCATTGCGGAAGTCTCTGCACTGATGATTTACAACAAAATCAATAATAAAATAATAAACTTTTAATAAATAAAGTAGATAAATTAACATAAGTTTTTTATTTGTTACTCACTAATTTTTTTAAAATAAAAAATCATTTTTATTTGCAAATTTTTAAAAATGATTATTTAAGAAATAATCATTTAAAAAAAATTTAACATATTTTAATTCATTTATACTAATGTCAAGAAAAACAATTTGTTTGTATCAAAAATTTTAAAAAATGTATTATTAAATTTAATTATTTAATATTAAAAAAAAAAGAAGAAAAAAATTAACATTTCATAATAGTAATAATGAAAAACAAGTTAAATAATTTTTAAGTTGTTTTGTGGTAGTTAATATTATTGCAGTAATTTAAAAATCTTTAAAAAATAAAAAAATAAAGATAACTTAATGATGTCAAATTCACATTAAGTTTATGTGTTAAGCATTTTTTATTTAAAACAAACACTGCATTACAAACATGATGTTTGCAATGCAGTGTTTTTCTTCAACTATTGCAGATTTTTTGACCAGGTATTAAACCAAAATCTTTGACATATGAAAGAATAATAACTCTAAGAGAATCTATAAAGTAAAAGATAATAAATTGTTAAAGTATTGTTTAACATTTATTTATTATTAAAGTTATTATTTTTAATATTGAAACTACTTTTCACTTTTTTTGCTTGTTTGTTCAAAAGGATTACAACAATACCTTCGATTTTCATTCTCCTACCTCAACAAGTAAATTTTATTGTGATAGTTACAAATAAAATCTATGGGATTTATTTTGCTTTTCGAAGAAAGAACCTCTTGGTTTAGTTTAGATAGTTCTTCATAATATTTACTTTTTTTAGACTTGCTAAACCTAATAAGATAGCACTGTTCATTTAATGCTTTACCAATACAACGAGGAGAAAGTTCAGGCTAATCATTATTAATTAGTTCTAAAAAACAACAATTTATTTGGTTTTTACTAGTGCTTTAATTAAATAAGTTCTTTGAATAACACATTTTATTAAACAGGTATTTGCTTAAGACAATGTTTATAAAATCTATAATATGTGTAAAGAAATATTCAATTGCAGATTTTGATAGAATTCAAGTTGAAAGTCACCACCTTGATTGATGTATTTTTTTAAGTATTGTTATTATTTGTTTTTTATTTTGTATTTAGTTGGTTTTTTATTTTACCTTTCACCTTTTTATCAAAGTTTGTTATAAAAATAGAAATAAATAAATAAATTCTGGTAACATCAGCAAAATTGTAAATATTTTTTAAGAAAAAAGTTGCCACAGTATTTAAATCAAGTATTACTGTAAACCTTTAGAAAAGAACCTAAACCAAATCTTCCAAGTTCTGTGACTTTTCATAAGTATTTTTTTTGTTGTTGATATTATTGCTATTTAATCTGATTTGCTTTAAAGCGTAAGTAAAAAAGTAATTGCTATTAAAAATAAAAATACAAATATTTTTATTTTTATTTAGAAAATGCCAATTACATGTTTTTGTATTTGAATTTATGTTTGGTAATATAGAATTAAGGTATTTGTATTTGATTGAATGTACTTGACCCCAAGCCTGCTAGGTGATATACAGGTCTGCATTTTTTTTTTTTTAGGTGATATTCGGGTCTGCAATTATTGTTGTAATATTGTGCAAGCCTACTTAAATGATGAAAATTTTGATAAAAGCATAGCAGCACTTGGTGAAGATTGGAGGATAGGAAGTGACCATAACTGCTTTTTATATGATTATGGAGGAAGTGCAAGCTCTGTAAATTCTGCCAAGACAAATCAAATCAAAGAAGATCCATTTCGAATGAAGGTTAGATAAATATAAGAAAATAACAGTTTTATATTGATAACTGGGTCTTGAAATTTTGCTTTACAAAGCAAAAGCTTTTTACTCTCAATTTTTTCTTTTAGTTTTTCATTTTCCTTATAGTTTATATACACATGTTTATATACACATGTTTATATACACATGTTTATATACACATGTTTTGTATCATAAAAATGGTATGTGATGATGTTGTATATGATATATATGTGATATCTATAGTTCAGAAATCGTTTCGATTTTTGTTAAATATTTGCTTTTTTTGATTATTGCTTTTTTCTTATTTTTTGATTGTACAAAAAAATATATATATTTTATTACAAATATAATATAATATTATTATATTTAAAGTTAGTAAATTACAAATTTTATGAAATAAAATGAAAACATGAAACATAAAGGAAAGATTAAGCTTGTCTTTCTGTTTCATGTTATAAAAGGATTTTAAAGGCTTCTTATAACTTTAATTTTTTGAGTTATTCTGTACTTGGTTTTTACAATTACATAAAAATAATCAGCATTTTCTGTTTGAGAATAATTTTGAAAATTGAGATTTTCATGTATTTATCAAATACAAAATTAATCTGGTTTGCAATAACACTTAGATTTAACATTCATTAACTTTCAATAACACTTAGATTTAACATTTCATTAACTTTTGAGACAATTGGTTCAAAGCTGTAACCTGTGAATCTGTAACTTTAGCTTATTATAAATTAGCTATACCATCAAATCAAACTTTCCTAATGCAACTATAATCAAACTTTCCTAATGCAACAGTTGATCATACACAACGTGACATATGATCATATAGGTTCTGTATTTTTTTTCTAGTTTATAAAAGTTTAGAAATTTTTGAGTATAATAATAATTCCAATAAATCAAAATTTCTTAGTAATAATTTTACTAAATATATTATATTAGGTTGAACAAGTGTTTTATTAACAAGTTTTTTATATACAGTTGAGTATTAATTTTTAAACTCAATCAATTCTGCCAGATGTTGAATGTCTTGGGTAAAGCATTAGATTTAATCCTTTTTTTCTTCTCATTTTTGAAGAAAATCTATCATGGACCTAAATACAAGTTTCAAATACTAAATAAAAGTTGAAAGGTCTATAAAAAGATATGAGACTTTATTCATCAAACAAGCTAAAGGATAAAGAAAAAATGTTTAGGAATCAATCAATGGAAATAAGATTACAAAGTTAATCTTTTGGTAAAGAAAGTGAATAAATATTACTTTCCAAGCAATTATGTTATCTAAATCAATCTGAAAAACAAAATTCCTCAGCCAATATTTGAGCGCCAAAACTCTACACCCAAGTTTTGACAAAGTTATATTGTTGCATTTTGATGGAATTACATAAGACATTTTTTTCTAAAATCATTATAATAATAAATTAATAATTTATTATTATAATGATTTAGAAGTAATGATCAAATTTTTAACTGAAGCTGTTTTTAGGACTTCACATACTTACTGAATTAAAAATCAGTAAATTTACTGATTTTGTGTATTCACCCAAAATCAAAAATCAAATTTTTAGATGTTTTTTTGAGATGATTTGTTAATAATATTTTAGGTTTTGTAGATTATTTTATCAATTTATTTTAATTTGCCATTATTGATAAAATGTGACACAAAAAATTTTTTATATTGCATTTTTTCAATCAAAATCTTGAGTTCTATATAATAAAAAAAAAAATCTGAAATAAAAAAAAATTTTCTTTTTATTATTATTATTTTTTAAAGAGCTTCAAAGTATGAAAAACATTTTTTTCAAAGTATGAAAAACATTTTTTTCAAAGTATGAAAAACATTTTTTTCAAAGTATGAAAAACATTTTTTTCAAAGTATGAAAAACATTTTTTTCAAAGTATGAAAAACATTTTTTTCAAAGTATGAAAAACATTTTTTTTGCTTCTAAAGATTTTATAATTTGGATAAATAAAAAAATTTAAATGACTATATCTCATAAACTATTTGCTTTTCTCATTAATTTAAGCCAAACCACCAAGTTTTATCAAAATGTTTGAGTTTTTGACCATTTGACATAGTAGTAATCTTGATAAATCAAACTTTAACAACATATAATTATTAAGGTGGTTAGTTTTGGTCAACCACATATTTTTATATAAAGATGGTCACAAATTTTAGGAAAAGGTTAATTTCAAGAGCAATAGTCCTTTCCTTGCCTCTACAACCTGTCAGTTAACAAGTCAGCGGTAGAATGAGTAGATTGGAATCCATATTGATTGTCAGAGAGCTATTAGACTCAAAATATTCGTTGATTAAAAGTTTTAATTTTGTTGATTAAAAGTTATAAATGTTATAAATTTGTTGATTAAAAGTTATAAATGATATAAGTTTGTTGATTAAAAGTTATAAATGTTATAAATTTGTTGATTAAAAGTTATAAATGTTATAAATTTGTTGATTAAAAGTTATAAATGTTATAAATTATTAAAAGTTATAAATGTTATAAATTATTAAAAGTTATAAATGTTATATATAATATAAAGTTGTCGATTAAAGACTCAAAGATTTTGCTAATAAAAGAGAGAAAATGGATGGGTTAATAGTTAAAGAGTGTTTTCTTAGATTTTTGTACAATCAATCAAAGCAATCATCAATTGACTTCAAGCAATCAAAAATTGACTTCCAGCCTTACTTACACAATCCAAAAGTTTCTCAAGTTCAGTACAAACAAGAGGAAGTATTTATGGAACCATAAATATTTCAGCTTCTGCTTTCTGATGACTTTAAATCTCCTAAGAATTTGGAATTACTTACTTTTTTAAGTGCCTATTATCTGGTATTCTTGCAGGTACAAAAACAACTAACTAAAGTGGATCAGCTTGCTCAATTATTTAATATTATGGGCTGCAATATGTCACTCATGCTTTATTTTCTCTGCCATAGCTTTTCTTTTTTTTACGAGAGACGTTAGTAACAAGCTGGGTGAAAAATTCCATCAGAATATTTCACAAACTGACAGCAAATGTAAATGTAAATGATCTTCAGCAATGCTTACTACTGTTGGATGTTTTAGAGTGACCAGCTGCATCGAAAATACTAACGCCAGAGAATGATATTTTCAGGCTTTTTTGACAATACTTCATTAAATGCAATTTTATTTTATCAAGTGCATCACAATGAAAGCTCAGAGAAAAAATGTTTGAAAAAGTATTGGACTAAGATTAATTATTTATGTTATATAGCACTGTGTTTTAAACATAACACTATGTTTTAAACAAAACAGTGTGTTTCAAACAAAATACTGTGTTTTAAACAAAACACTGTGTTTTA